CAAAATTAACAGAATGAAGTTGCCCACGGAAGATGCTACGGCATTGGACATAATTTAAAAACAACATTCGAATAATAATAGAATTTATGTTACACTTAATATGAGAATGTGAAATGTGAGAATAATAATAAATATTTATTTATTTAATTTTTCAAATGTAAATTGAACTTTATTAACTATAATGAATCCTTTTCCAGTCTTTGATTATTTCATTGTAATTTATTATTTGCTTGCAATCAAAAACTATTTTTAATAATGCCAAAGAAGTATAACTTCTTACGCGCGTAATAAGTACACGCACCCTTATTTATTTATTTATTTATGGTCGAAAGACCTGCGCCATAGAGACAATGGGTTCGTACATAAAGGGACTAACAGGGGCCTTAGTCAAGATGCCTTAACAGTAGTGTATGTAGAACGTCAAAAACTAAATTTGTATGAAAACTTTTCGACACGAACTGTCATTTCCAACAGAATCCTCAAATGAAGTGGTACAATGTATTAACTCATTTTATAAAATGAGGTGGGACATACAAACACTTCAATATCGTTTGTCCTACCCATCACTATTTTAAACTGTAAATAAAATGTAAAATCTTCCGGCTAGGGACGTGACAGTCGAATTATACAAGTATTTTGAAGATCGACCAATGGGTATCCGATCGACTAAATATTCGTATCCGATAGAATCCATACGATCTAAAATGGTTAATCAACTCTTCTCATAAATATGTGATCGATATTGCGATTGAGTCACAATGTAATTTTAGTATCAGCAATGTGCACTCTATATAAATATAAAAGGTACTACAATATATTTTTAATTATAGTATGTAAATTTTAAACTTAAAATTAAAATTAGCCACCCAACGCTTATGCTATTATAGAATAAATGTCAAATATTCATATTTAAATCTAATGTAAACATGATTTTTATCTTTTTTTAAATATGATAATAGGGAATAAAAGATATAGGGATACAGATACCGGCAAATTTCTTGAGCATTAAACAAGAGAGTGGGAGAAAGTATGCGCATCGCGGAACATAAACGTCAATTGATTTACCAATCACGCGATCGACACGTCACTCTCCCGCCGCCACGCACCACCGACCGCAAGCCTCCTCTCAGTGATACCTAAAAATAGCTTCTGTGCAGTCAAGGACATTTGTTCAAGATGTTTGCCGGTATCTGTAGGTACAGATAGTGGTTGCCGTGCGTTTGATATTCTGAATTATAAATTTGTATTTTGTGAAATTATATTACATTTTGGAGATGTAGTAACGTTGTAAACATGCTTTATGAAGTTACTTGTACAACGGTGTACCATCCATATGGTAATAAAAAAAACAATTCATTTATGTAATGATAAGGTAGGCGAAAAACCCTCCTGGCGCCCACCTTTATTCATTTATGTTAATGTTAAGATTTAGTTTAGTGTTATTTCAGATATTATTATAGTTGTAGACTACTTATTTGTTTAAATATCCTTTACTTATTAGTTATATTTAACATAATCAACCACATATCTTATCCGTGGAGCAGATGGAGAAGTTACGTTTAAATATTATCAGCAAAATGGCATCAGAGTCTGATATAGGGATAATTATAATGATCAGACTTTAAAACGAAACAGTAAACACTATTTCCGACTGCCACAGACTCTAAGACTCATCATCGCGAAGTCATGAGTGTCTGTCAAACTGACGTTTTCTATTAATTCTAGCAACTACAGACGATAATTTACATCAGACAATTAGTTGGTGTTTATGGTTTCTGTCAAGTAGTTGTTTTCTTGCCATTTTATTTTAAAACGACTTCAAATACCTCGAAGAAGACGTTTCCGGCTTACACTAAAATTATATCTTGATCGTATTTTAATTTTACGGTCATTCAAGCTTCATATGTGAAACTTAAGTCAAGTTTATAAATTATACACAGACTTAATGGAAATACTGATATCATAAGCTTCAAAAGAACATTGCGGGGAATATTACCTCTTATTATTATGAACCAGATATCTATTGGGTGCAGTTCTTATTATTTTTAAGGCTTATTACAGTCATGACGACATATAACCGTTACATTAAACACAACAAAATGAATGCCAAATAATATTATTAATATAAAAAAGGGCGCGTGTACTTATGTACGCGCGTAAGAAGTAATACTTCTTTGGAATTATTAAAAATAGTTTTTGATTGCATGCAAATAATTAATTACAATTAAATAATCAAAGACTGGAAAAGGAGTCATTATAGTCAATAAAGTTCAGTTTACATTTGAATAATTAAATAAATAAATATTTATTATTATTCTGTATAATTATGTCCAATGCCGTAGCATCTTCCGTGGGCAACTTCATTCTGTTAATTTTGTGTCACGGTGCGCGCGCATCGTAAAATTTCACTCTCATCAATTTTTCATAACGCGCTAGAGAAGTATAACTTCAAAAATTACAACTTTTACAGAACTCTGAAGCTAAGGCGAAGAATTGTAGATTGTACTTTTACTATATGATATCAACTACTAAATAAAATTTAATATATGTTTGACAGACCATTATTTCATTTGGTAATAATATTCATTAGCGTTAAGTTTATGGTAATAATATTGGTACATTTGTTTTTCAAATTGATTATGTTTGAGTGCTTGAGGTACGTTATTAACGTAGATGGCGGACTATGGTTTTATACCCTATCTACGGTTATTAATGATTACGGACCATAGATGGCAGAACTTCTTTAGCATTTATTAGTAAATGAAGTACGTTTTCCAATTACAGCACTAGAGCGCATTTTGCGGCATAATGCTCAACGTTGAGTGTTCCAACTACAGCAACGCTTCGCACAATTGAGCACTCTCAAAACGAATGCTCTCGCAAACAATACCAACACAGTGACAGAAAATTTACCAGCATTTTTCTTTAAGTTGGCATTTATCGAAATTTTCGTTAGTAAATATTATTTATTGTTGAAAAATTTGTAAGGCTTTCGTTTCATCGTAGATTTTGAAAATAATTAAAGTTATTTCAATCTGCTAAAAAAAAAAAATATTAGTATGGATGAAGGTATAAATAGTTACTTTTTTATATTCCACATTTAAAATATGAATACAATTTTATTTTAAAAATCGGATCTGCAAACAAATTTACTTTACGGGATTATACTTTAGAAAAAATTGCAATGGTTTTGAAAAAAGTATATATTTTTTTTAGAAATCATTAAAAAAATATTACTCAAAACATAAATGATGTAAACTTCTTACATTAAACTAAATATTTTACTGTTAATTTAGCTTGTTAAAACCTTATATTCTTTAAAGGTTTTCTCTTATTTCAGTAAAAAAAAAAGGGTCCGTGTACTTATGTACGCGCGTAAGAAGTTATACTTCTTTGGCAATATTAAAAATAGTTTGGCTTTGTTCCACCTCCAGTTTTTGATGTTTCACAGCGATAAGATGAAAACTCTTTTTTTGTATTCAATTTAGTGCAGTTACACTTAGGGATGTGACATTCTGCATAAAAAAAAATCGATTTTTTATTAATCGATTATTTTTTTAGCATGAATAATCGATTAATAAATAATCGATTTTTCTTAAAAAAATAATCGATTTTTTTTTATTAATCGATTTTTTCCTAATTTTTGAATTAATTTCAAAATAAACACCCTAAATATATTATTTTTCATGGTTTTTTAAATTAAAAATAAACAATAGAAATTATAAACACAAATTGACGTTTAAGAATAATCAAAATTGAAATTAACTTAATCTCGTTTTGATAGATTTTAGGTGAAATTTGATAAATGCTGAGTGTATGCCTTTTCAGTAGCACATTGCAGTATTTTTGTTGTCTTTTTAATTGTATGTAGTCTTGTGCTGCTGAATAAATTTATTTTACTTTTAAATTATAGTGTGCCATTCAAACTTGAGTTTTTGTAAAATTAACTGCTTTTATCATCCTTTTGATGTTTTACAAAAAACATCAATGTATCGAGTATATCAATACATCTTCAAAGAATCCGATTCAATGTATCGCTTTGTAAACATCGTTGTGTATCGAATATCCCTAATAGTTCAAGGTCCGGGTTATAAAAGACCAGACATAATGTCGGGAGGTGGCAGATAAAAAATCGATTATGATTGATTTTCAATTATAAAAATAATCGATTATTAATCGATTATTTTAAATATAAAAATCGCGTAAAAAAATCGATTTTTACTTTTAAAAAACTCGATTAAAATCGATTTTTTTAATAATCGATTATTTTTTCACATCCCTAGTTACACTGATTCATCAATTGTTTTTTGTCTCTTTTCCTTATATTTGCTAGATAAAATCAGAAAAATTACATGTTTTGATTAAACAATGTGGTTAATTTTTTAATCAAAACATTACTCGATAATAATAATAATATATACGGATAGTTAACCTCAATTGTATTGAAGCACTTAGGAAGGTTGATGAGCACAGTTTTTTCACAAATATTCATTAGTATTGGTTTAAATATTCAATTTAAATCACTTCTGATTATAATTCAAAAAGCATCGCTAAATTTCTTTGAAAAAATAATTAAAACTCCTTTATTTGTTTAAAAGGTAAATGACAAATGTCATTCTTTCCATTTACAAATTATAAACCAAACGTCGGTAATGTTACTGAATAGGTAACTATAAGGTAAGTTTTAAGATTTAATTACCATTAAAATCCACACCATTAAATGATTGTATTCCATGTTGTGTTTCGATATCTGATTTAATATTATAATATTTAAAAGGATTTAAACATTTTGTTTTCTAATATTTAAAAAATCTTAAAAATAAACTTATCAGCGTGAATTATAGTGTATCTATCTGATAGCCTTAATTTAAGCGAATAATATGTATGTCGTTACTTAAATAGTTACTTATTTGTGAAAGCTGAACTTAATCTTAAAGTAAATATTATCTAACACAAGTAGAATTACTTCTGTTGAAACAGCGAAGGAAATAAAATTAAACATGGAATCTGATAAGCCTAATACAAGAATGGCAGACGATGAACTTCGGCACTATTTTTCGGATCTGCCTTCTGGACCTCTGGACAAGTACAGAAAGAAGGCAACATTTGACTGGCGGCGAATGAAACTCGTTTACGATACATTGGGATCAATTCAGTTGAAAGTAAGCTGTTATTAACTACTTTCCAATTGCTTCATTTTTAATAGCATTTGGAATGGGATTTTTTAAAAGTAATGCTTTATTAGTAAATCACTATTTAAAGTTATGTGTAAATATGTATAATAAAAGTGGACAATGCGCGCTATATTTAGATAAAAGGATCTCTAACACTTGTCTACTATCAACTGTTTATCATCCCATTCCGTTGAGCAATTATTGGATAAAATTGTATTCCAGGCCTTTAAACAGTACAGTCTACTAAATAATTGTGACTTTCTTAGATTTCAGTAAATTCATATTCTAGTATATAGTTCTATTCAAAAGATATTTAAATGGATGCCATGTTTTTTAGAATGATATCTGGAGTTTTATGGAGAGACATCCTTTATTCCAGCACTCAGATAAGCCTCTTTCTATGGATGAGCAGAGGCACATTGCTATCAAGAGAATGTATGCTTATTATAATGAACGCTTCTTACCTATGGAAAAAGTAACTATTTCAATTAAAACACTTTTAATGTATGCCAATCTTTATTAATTGTTGTAATAGATTTCATAATTTTGTTATTAGATAGCCCAAGATCCTAGAATATTTCAAGCAGAGGCAGAAGCACTCTTCATGTTTGACAGTTCTTTAGCTGTCAAAGTCTCCCTTACTTTTCGAATGTTCTCTAACACAATCCAAGGCAGTGGTAGAGGACATCTTTATGATTTTATTGAGGATATTGAGAAAGCCCGAATTGGTGGCTGCTTTGCACTAACAGAAGTTTCTCATGGTTCAAATGCGAAGGGTATGAGAACAACTGCTACATATTGTCCAGAGAAGAAGCAGTTTATATTACATTCACCAGATTTTGAAGCGGCTAAGTTCTGGGTTGGATGTTTAGGTATGTATCTTATATATTCTATTTGTAATATTTTTTGTAGCAAATCCTATTTTTTGAAAACTCCTTTAAAAAAAAAATCTTATGTATTATCTTGTTTTGTCATATATTAGCAATTCAGACTGAAAAACCATGAGAATTTAGAGGTTTTATTACAATTATTATGCTTCTAAATTTAATACAACATAACTTTCATTTATTCATACATTAACATTAATTCTAGTCGTAAGTATCTTACATGTATTAACACTTTGCATAATGTATGTAGTGGAAACTATTTGAACTGAAGAAAAGGTCAATATTCATACAAAATTAAAATCACGGTACGGTTACTTTAAAATTTTAGTCATATGCTGTTAAAAAACTACCAAGTAAAAATCAACAAATACAAGAAGAGTTTTCGAACATCGTTTTAATTGGATAACCAAACAATTATTTTAATAGTAAATTTTTTTGTCTTGTGTTTAAGGATATCTGCGAAGACAGCTTATTGTAATGTCGAATCAGCGTTTTTGTTTTAAAAAAGCAATGATATATTATCATAAATCTACATTACAAAAAATTCATATTAATTTAAATCAATTAATTCGGCTTTATGTCTGACTTTTTACTGTGACTGCGATTTCCAATAACGATTTAAATTGTTATAGTGAAGTTCAATGTTAAATATTCAACACAACATTGCTTTTTCGAGTTTCTCCTGATTTAAAATAACATATATAGATAGAATATCTCTCCCTATCATACTTATCACATACCGAAATTCATACAAAAACTACTTTAAAGCCCGAATCAACTACGGGCGAGAGACATAATAAACACAATATGAATTTTTGACCTAAAATGGGAATGTTATCAGGCAAATGTGCAACCCACGCCATCGTGTATGCGATGCTGATATCAAAGGGCACAAACCACGGCCTGCACTCGTTCATTGTCCCCATCCGTGACCCCAAGACCCTCAAGCCATTCGCTGGCGTCATCGTCGGTGACATTGGCGAGAAAATTGGTCTGAACGGTGTTGACAATGGGTATGTTAATAGATTCAGAATTAATCGTTAAATAATCCAGTATCGCTAAATTTAATATATATATGTGTCACAATGTTCGTTCCTTACTCGTCCGAAACGGCTCGACCGATTCTTATCAAACATTTTATGCATATTCAGTAAGTCTGAGAATCTGCTACTATCTATTTTTCAAACCTCTCAGTGATAAGGGGTTTCCACCCCAAAAATTTTGTTTTTATTTTTTAGACAATTTATTTTGTTTCTATTTTTTTATGATACAGCATACAAAAATACATACAACCCCTAATTTTCATCCCTCTTCGATCAACCCCTATTTTTTATTATTGTTGATAGTTATTTTTATTGAACTAAAAAATGTTTCCTAGAAATAATATACATGGCAAAACAAACGTTTGCCGGGTCGCTAGTTTAATAAATATCGTGACGGCGACTATGTAGAGTCTAGATATTTCAACGTACAAGCAATGAATGTTATTTGAATATATGTATAGACAATTTTATTGGTGCAGCAGCAGGGATTTGTATGAGTTTAAGGTTGAGAGCGCGATTAAGTGACCAGGGTGATATAGAATTAAAAAACATAATAACCGATACTAAAATGGTAATAAACACGGTACCGACGTCTGCATTTCATAATAAATGCACATACAAATCCTACTTCATTAAAAACGTAATAAAATGAAATTAAAAATGATAAATGGTAGCTCAGTTATTGTAGGGGATTTCATAGATCTTATTTAGTTATTACGCCCACAAATCTAATTCGTATGAAAATTCAACAAAAATACAATTATTATATATTGCATCTTTCACTAATTTCAGGTTTGTTATGTTCGATAACTACCACATTCCAAAAGATTTAGCTTTGGACAAGTTGGGTGGCGTTGATGATAATGGGGATTATAAGACGCCATTCCGGGATCCCAATAAGAGATTTGGTGCTGCCTTAGGGGTATTATCAGGTAAACACGTTTTAATATATCAAAGAATACAAAAAATACAAGCCAAATTAATAGCCTCCTTTAGTTTATTTAGGTTACTCAAACTCAAAATACCTTTATTCATGTAGGTAAACAAGTACACTTATGAATTGTCAGAAAGAAATTAATTGTAAATTTACATTTACTACCAGTTCGCAAGTCAAGGGCGTAGAGCGGGTAAAAGGAACTGGCAAGAAACTTTCCGCCACTCTTTTTAATCGCCAAGTATTGTCATACAAATTGTTTGACTGTTATGTTAGTTTGAAGTCGGTTAAAGAATGCTAGCAAGCTGACCCGGCTACACACAAGTACAGCAAAAAACAGCCTTTTTTTCAAACATAGTATAATATAAATTTCAAGTATATGTTTCTGTGAGAAATGCCACATGCATTCGAATGGTGAAAGAACCAGTAGTTTTTGAGTAAAAAAAATATATATTTTAAATTGGTAATTTAAATAGTTAGTAATTAATCTTATTGGCGCAAGGTATAACATCTGGTTTTCAAATTCATATGCCTATATAATGATTATGTGCTTTCCAAATAACGCTGGCCCCGGGTTTCATTTACGAAAGAATTATTCTTTCTGGTCAAAATGTAGAGCAATTATGTCAGAAAGCTGTCCCAGTTCCCGATATGCTATTCTAAATAATTTCTTTCATTAAAGGTGGTCGAGTGCATATTACTTCGATATCAACGAACTATCTCCAAAAGGCGATAGTGATAGCTGTGAGATATTCCGGAGTGAGGAAACAGTTTGGCGCCGATAATGGTTCCGAGGAAACCACTATCTTGGAATATCAACAACAGGTGTTCTATACCTTATTAGACAAGCTTTTTTGACGCGTATTTCAGGAACTACTGCTTTGAAAAAAATAGAAAAGCGTAATTTTTATTATTTTATTTAATGGCAACCATTTGTGACCCAGGAGAAAAGTAATAAAAATCACGAAAACAACCTCCTTAACTTTTTTTTTTAATTTGTGTCAGAACCATTTCTTTAGATGAGAAAAATACAATCTAAATATATAATTTAGGAGTCGTCATAGATAGTAAAACATATTAATAACAAAAAAGTAAAGTAAAGTAAAACACTGCGGTTTCTTCCGCATTTATTGGATCTTTGTTTTTATCCACGTCTGACATAAAGTCCGTGAATTTTTTTTATGCGAAACTTGTCGTGGTGTTAACGAATATCAATCTAATTTCGGCGATTCATTTATATCGTCTTAAAGATTTTTTTTATTTCAGCAAATACGTCTGCTGCCATATTTAGCGACTACGTACGCGTTACGTATATTCTGTTCGTGGTTCGGAACTGAGCACGTAAAGATGACAATTGACAATATGATGGGTGAGATTACTATTTTATATAATAAAGTGTGAGTTTGTTATTATCCAGCGTGCGACTCTCAATCCTGATGATGTAGGTTCGAGCCCCAGCTATGCACTAATCGACTTTCTACGTCGCAATCGCACTTCTGTGCTAATCATCTTGTCTATTACAAAAACAATTGATAACGAAACAGAGATAGTACACAAATCTGAGGCCCAAGACAATAGTAATAGCACCACTGGTTTGTTTTTTCTATTTACATTCTCATCCCTTTGTTTGCCTACTTTTTTAACAAGGAAATGAAACAAAACGCGAGTATGCACGATTATGTTTTAAATTGGTCATACTCACCAATTACGCGATTTCACTTGCGTTGTTACGTAATACTACGCAGCGACCCAAAGTGATCTTTACCGAACATGGACCACCGCTTGCCAATCGTCCTTGTACACGGCGTCTTTCCAGCTAGCAGAGATCAGGGCCTGCCCTGCGATTCTGTAACTCACTTTTCGAACTCACACAGCGGTTTTCGCATCGGCGGTCGCTCTCAAATCAGTCGTGAAGCAGTCATTTTATGATTTGGCATTCTGAAAAGGTGGGAGCTTGTAGTTTATTGTTTATTAGAATGCCAAGTCATAAAATGATTGCTTCACGACTGATTTCCGAGGGACCGCCGATGCGAAAACCGCTGTGTGAGTTTGAAAACTGAGTTACAGAATCGCAGGGCTGCTGTTTTGCGTCGGCATACAGAGATACGCTTATTTAATAAACTCCGTTCTTCTCCCATCCTCTCGAGACGGATGACCAATCCAACGGAGACTTTCAGCTTTAGCTTCACCGTATTGTAATTAATTACCGTTAATATCGTTCAAGAAAGTTCTAACTGCTGTCCTTTTAAAAAGTATAAATATGAGAAGAAGAAAGAATATTTTTCAGGAGCAACAGATAAAGCAGCGAACAAAGGTATAGAGATGCATGCTCTGTCATGTGCTATAAAGCCCTTAAGTGGGTGGAGCGCGCGTGACGCCATACAAAATTGCCGAGAAGCTTGCGGTGGGCACGGATACCTACAAGGTAATGTTTATTAATTGAGACCCCGATATCATTATCATCATCATCAATGGTTATACAGCCCCTTGTGGGCCTTAGCCTTCTCAAGTACACTAACGACCGAACCTAATAATTAATCCACAATCTCAGATTGAAAACAATCAGACCGTGGCAGTCGATCGATCTCCTATCTGCATCGCAATAACCACACCCTACGAAGACAATCCATTTTTGGCGACGGATAAAATGCTCTTTGCCGTTCCATTTTACCGAGTTTACACTCATATTTGATAATCAATCTAACCAAATAAAGTACATAAATAAAACCTTACAACATTAAAATATACATGTGTATGTTTAAAACATAACAAACAGTTTTTTAATTATTTAAAAATCTGGTGTAAGTTAAAATCTGTTAAAATAATTAACTGTTGAAATCAAGCTTTCGTCAACTGTCATTTTCATACAAAGGTCTATCCACAGACACCGATACGACCTCCCATGGATAGCTTGTATCGACAGATGGCTATTACAATCCGTCGATTGGTTATTGGCACACTTATTGCAACATTTGCGTATATGTGGAGGTATAAATTAATAGTTTTTCATCATTTTAACCTTAAAAGGGTTTATATGATGAAGTGGATCTTAAGGCAGTTGTCCCACCAACGACGAGAAAACGACTAACTATCGGCTATTTTCTCGCTCAAGAAACGTACAATAGATATTCTTTTCGTGTGAACAAAAGAGATGCATATACAAACAGTTGATCGCTGACTGTTCACACTGCCGGCGAGCACTCGCTTCACTAGTTTGTCGCTGAGCGACAAGAGCTATGAAAGATAACACTCGCTCGGCGATACTCGCCAAGCGATTAGAACTAATGCCGAGAGAGCAACCAGTGATTATTTCTTGCTAAACTTGACTGCTGCGAGCGAGTGATGCGAGTAATCGCCCATCTCACTCGCACACTCGCTTATAGCCGAGCTACACAAATTTTGGAACTACGCACTCGCTCCCCGCGTCTCGCTAACTCGTTTCTGGTTCTAGCCTTACTCGTTACTCGTTAATCGTTGCCGGTGAGACAAGTGCCTTAGTGGCAAAATTTTTTGTTGTGTTACAGATTACACACAGCTGTGTTTCAAATACCTGTATTGTACTCATTTGTTTTATCCTTATAGCTGCACGTATCGGCGACATTCGTAACGATAATGATGCAAATTGTACGTACGAGGGTGAGAACAGTCTTCTTGTTCAGCAGACCAGCAATTGGTTGTTAGGTCTTTGGCCTCAGAGGAATAGTCTTACAGCAGAACATTCGCCCCTCGGTTCCTTGGGATTCCTGCAGGAGGTCGACAAAGTTCTAACTGAGGCCTGTAGAGTGGAAAATGTTCAGAATATGATTAGTCCTCAAAGTAAGTGTTATTTAATAATAATAAAATGTACAAAACGATTAAACTATACAACGATTTTGGTAAGTTATGCTAATTTTTAGTCATTACAATTAAGATTATCATTCTCTATTTTTGTATCATCTTGTGTGTTAGATACCGTACTTGTTATACTCAAACTCAAAATATCTTTATTCATATAGCCTAAACATGTACACTTATGAATCGTTAAAAAGAAGTTAAATTAATTGTAAATTTACATTTACTACCAGTTCGCAAGTCAAGGGCGTAGAGCGGGCAAGAAGAACTGGCAAGAAACTTTCCGCCACTCTTTTTAATCGCCAAGTATTGTCATACAAATTGTTTGAACTGATTCATTACGGATTGACGGATCATTTAAGTATTCGTCAGATTCATAAAAAGCTTTATTGATTAATTTACATTAAGCGAGGGTTTTGAATTTATTTAACAATAATACTCTAATTTCGCTTGGGAGTTTGTTGTAAAAGCGAATACAATTTCCATATAAGGAGTGGTTTATCTTTTGGAACCTGGTTGGTCGTACACTCACATTAGTTCTATTTCGCGTATTATACTGGTGAAAGTCACCATTTGTTTTAAAATCGTATAAAATACCTAATCTATTAATCGTAATAAATTTATATTTTTTTGTACGTACAACAAGGCTTCAAGAATGTATTGGCTAGATAGTGTCATAATATTCAATTCCTTAAACTTATTCCGTACCGACTCCCTTGGGGAACACAACAAATACCCCGAACAGCCCGCTTCTGCAGCACAAATATGGATTGAACCTCTGCAGCAGCACCCTACAGTAGTATATGCACTACGGTACACTTGTTTCACTCAATCAGCCGTTAGTATTAAAGACCGGCAACGCACCCACTAAACTTTTATAGTGTAAGGACAATGAACTAAGAGAAGCATTAAGCTTAGATCTGTCCAATCCAGAGGCTAGAGATATATTTCAAGATTCCTTCTACCATTTTGTGACCTTGTTTATGACCTATGATTATATGCATATGTTTAGATGCATAGCTAAATTTTGAATGCACCATTCAAATAAAATGAGTTGCTTTATATATCGGGATATTCCATTTGAAGTTTGTTTTGTATTAATATCTGAATGTAAAAAAGTAAAAATACAATCATAGACAAATTTATGGTAAATAATATACATATAATATAAATAGTATAAGTGCACACTGTTAATTGAATAATAATCTGTGAACTTCTCCAAGAGTGATAGGGCTGCTTTACAGTACAGTGCGAAGTTCATTAATGTATTAATATTTGTTTTGTATAAGTCAAGCCTACTTCCCAAAGTAATAAGGCAGAGACCACCGACCTCTATTGATGATCTTTACATACACCTCGCTTCATTTACTCTCATTTAATTATAGTAATAGATATTTTAAATAATAATTGGTAATGTAAAATTTTCAGACCTAATACAAATATATAAATGGCTCACAGCATACACTCTTAAAATGACCTATGAAAAAGTAAACAAACTAAAACAGGATGGACGAACCAATTTACAGGCAAAGAACGAGTCACAGTCATACAATGCTGTCAATTTATCTATTGTCTATGGTGAGGTTAGTATAATCTGTGATAACTGGAGTTACCAATCTATAGTTTAGAGACTCTATGTAATACTCTTTTTTGTCAAATCCAATACGTTTTTGGCGGGAGTTATACTTCGCGTCCTTAGGGATTTTTTGAAAGAAATTATTTCAAATATACTAGCGCATTTTCTAAACTGTTTTTTAGTCGAGCAGTAAAAAAACTGCCGCATTTTAGAGTATTAACCTTATTACCTAAACGTCTAATACCTGCAGGTCACGTATTCGAACCCTGTTGAATGTTGAATGTGTGGAATTGTCGGTATTCTGTATGTAGTTTGACAAATCAGACGTCGCACAAGACGACATTGTGACTTGTTAACGTAGAATATGGACTTTTATGTTAGAAAACAGCCGGATCTGATTTTAATTAAAGTACAACAAACTATTTTATTGTACTTAAATTAAAATGTAAAATTCCGTTTATTAATTACAGAACTTCATCCTAAACCACTTCTACAAGACAGTGCAGCAGTTTGAAGATATTCCATGTCGAAGAGTTCTAATCAAACTTGTATCATTGTACGGCGCCTTCTTATTGGAGAAACATATGGCGACCTTATACATTGTGAGTTAGCACCACTAATCCCTTTCTTTTACTTCTAAACGACTCTGGATCTCTTACTTTTTCTTAAATTCATAAACACAATGTATGTCGATATTAATGTCGATTTAACGTACACGTGCTATTTTAAGTCTAATATATTTTTTTTATATTTAACATTATCGTATTGGCTTTTACTGTACGTATAATATATGTATTTTTGTATATAAATAAAATAAAAGGTGACCCGGCGAACTTTGTACATAAGGCCCTTTCTCCACTGTTCCGGTCCGGCGTCGGATACCGGAATGAATCATGAGAAAAATATCAGAAGGCCGGATTGCGCTTCTCCACTATATCCGATCCGATAATAATCGATACTTGTATATTTATCATGCAACACTTATATTAACTAAAACCCATATACTTTATTTTATTAATAAAACGTTCTAAATTCTGAATATTTTATTGCCCTGGCAAGTTTATTACTTTTTTTTTATTGTCTATCTTAAAATATTATAATCTACTTAATAAATAGTTTACTAATACTATGGTATAAAAATATAAATAAATAGCAACATAATTTGGTTTGGTCCAGGTTATAAAGATTCTTTCAAATTAAAGAAACTATAAATAAACCTGTGAATAATAATTTATTACCTCTTGGATACTTGGATATACTTGGACCGATAAAACACCGCGTTCCGATCTAACAAGTTATCGGATCGTTAAAAACCGGATGCCGGAGTAGTGGAGAAGTACGTATGTACTGTTGTGAGTTTCTAAATCGGATCGGTAATTAACGTTTGCCGGACCGGAGCAGTGGAGAAACGCCATAACGGTCAATGAATGTCGTATTACAGATTACCTGAACATAATTTATAATTTTATAAAAGTAATACAATGAATATGTTATGTTTTTTTAAATTAAGTCATTAAGATTTAAGTAGCTTAATATGTTTTCCTTGTATTACATAAAATCAATTTCTGAATGCACGCATAAATATTTAACATCCAATACCAACGGGCAACCAATATGTCAATCCTTTTTCATTACTGACATTCTACATTTTTAAAATCTTTAATACGCCAGTATCCCAATATTATATTGTTGATATATCTTATCGATTCTAAATCTTAATTTAAATACGTTATTTTATTTGATCTTGCGTTTACCGTATTGACCGGATGAACATTAAATATTTTACATTTTCTATTGTTATATTTTTTCCGTAAAATTTTCGATGTTTCCCCAAAACCATGACAATCTGTCTGTGCCGTTCTCGAAATATAACTGTCAAAACAAAGCCAACTTTGTTCTATATACTGAGATTGGTGACTTTTATTGAATTATCACAAACTATATAATGAAATATAATTTCAGGGCGGTTACTTCTCAAAAGACCAAGGTTTATTCCTACGTGAGGGGATACTGCAACTTTGTAGTGAAATAGCACCAGAAGCTATTGCCCTAGTGGATACCCTGGCGCCACCTGACTGGTGCCTAAACTCTGTGTTAGGCATGGCTGATGGAGAGGTAACTATTATTACGTTTTTCTAAGCAATTTTAATAAAATATATCTTGTTAAATGCACATAGGGAAAGATTTAAAGAGAGCTATGTGACTCCAGTATGGCAAAAATGTATAACCTAGTCACAAATTTCCTTACAAACTGTGTAATGTAAATTGTAGTAAGAATTAGCATGAGCCTTTTTTATAGTACAGGGGGCAACGAGGTAGGAGGCTTACCACATGTTAAGTGCTACAGCCGCCCATGGACACGCAAGTGCGTTGCCGGCCTTCCTTAGTATTTTAGTGAAATTTTAGCCCAACGACAATAAATTCGAAACTTGAGATTACACTGCGCTTATCATGTTTACCAGATGCACTGCAACAAATCGCGAAGGTGCATAATTTTAGAATTTCTAACGTTTTTTATATTTTTTTATATATATCTAATCAAATAAACACGTGTTATATATTGTTTTGCAACGAAAGATTTAGTTGAATTTAACGGGAATAATATCTATAGAAATGGAATAAAATAAAAAATAATAATTAACATAAAATAAAATAAAAAAAGACTACAAAGGAAGGAAGGCTAGGAAGCTTAAGAGAAGGCGTTTAGCTTCCTATAATAAAATATGTCATCTAAGGCAACTGAATTTTTAAAGAATTATAATTCGAAAAACTATATCTTATAAATGATTAAATTTTTTAGGCATACAAACACATACAGAACAATGTGATGACCTACCCGGGATCTATGACGCGGCCGGATTGGTGGAAAGACGTGGTACACTGGGACACATACGTACAGTCGAAACTTTGAGATTTGTTCTAAGAATAAATTGGTTGTGGGACAATATATTTTACTAATATGTATTATAATACAAGTTAAAGTATCAATTTTATCGACCGCGCTACAATTGATAATTAATTTTAAATAGAGCAGCAAAGTTGACAGCATAATTCGTTTTTTTTTTTAATTTGTTTGTTAGTTTTGACAAACAATATCTTGACTGAAAAATTCAGAAAAACTTGCCTTTATTTTATATAAAAGTATTTTTGTGATGGTTTTTAGTTTTAAGCTATTATTACTCGTGATATTTACAATAAGATTATATATTTTTTTAAATGTTATTGGGGATGTAATATTTTTATATAATGTTTTAATAATAAATGAATTTTATATCAGCTGGACTATTTAATTTAAAAAACACCAAAAGGTTTGATTTGTTTTATATGAAAAAATTTTTTAATTAACTGGCTTATAGAGTTCTAGTCGTAAAGCGATTTCTTTGATTTAATATGAACACCCAAAAGCCTTTGACGAAGTAGGAAATACCTTTAGTCAACCACAATCACAATTATAGTTTTAAATGTTTTAATTCATAAGATATGAGAAAAATAAAACGCGTTAAAATCTAGTATATTCGATAATAAAAGAACTACTTTTAGAACTGGAATAATTGAAATAAATATTTAAATACAATCATTGCTACCTTTAATTTACATACTAAATTAGTTCTGTCAATCAGTCTTCCCATTTCACTTGATAGCATGTTTTTACCATGGCAGGACGTTTGCTTTTTCTATTAATTGGGCTAATTTTTAATTGGTAAGTGTAATCTTTGATGACTATAACATTTGCTAATGTCTGTATCGTAGGGTCTATGAACTTTATACTGATCTAAAAATTGCGTCTCTCGTGGAACTCAGATTTATATTCTTTAATTTCACATAACTTTTACTAGCAACTTTAGGAGTTAAATCGATCATAAATGCGAATAAGGAAGCCACCCCATATTAGCAAATCGATGTGAGAGACTATATATTTAAAATTATTAACAGCGGAATGGAAGCTAAGAACAGTTCCAAATGGAAAAATCAGGAGGCACAAAATGGGTCCATACCGCAGAATACAAAGAAACTGAAATAACAATAACTAACGTAGACAAAACTAATACCCATTTGATATGTAATTTTTTAACAATACTGGCTTTATTTTTATTATTATGTATTACCGTACCGTACGCAGAACTCCTCTTAAACGGCTGGACCGATTTCAATGAACTATTTTGGATTGGATGGCGCCCTGGATTGTTTAGATTAACAAATTAGCCCGCAGTTGTCGCTGCAGTCGGTAACTAGGTTATAAATCTTCTGTGGATGTGTTCGTAATTAAACTCCTAAACGGCTGGATAGATTTTGATGAAATTGTTTGTCTGTTCAAGTGGAGTCGAGGATTATTTACATTATTTTTTTTGTATGTAAGACGTGTATACATGACAACGTCTATCGTATATTTTAACATTAATTGTTTGTTTTAACATTTGTGCCAAAATATATAGAAATCAAGTCGTTCATTTCTTTTTAGTGGTTTATGCGACATAGGATCTATTATTAAAGATATCAACGTTCGTAAAGACCTACAGAATATCATCATCACGGTACTCAATGATCTGGCGAAAAGAAATGATGTCACTTGCGTCACGGCAATCACTGATGATATCTACCTAAATATCTTTGATGGGGGGTTTTTTAAGAGAACTAGGCCTTTGCCTTTTGTGACGGTACTTAATTTGTAACAATTAATTATTTGTACCAGTATCAGAGATTACAGTAGTGGCTGAAATATTAAAAATTAAATTTTAAAACTTTTTCCATCCAATTTACTTGTGAATAACGGACATCCGATTAAAACATTTTCTTAGTGTAAATCATTTTGTCCTGTGCATTTGTCGTAACAGCACTTGTTTTGTTAGATTTGTCACTTCAAACTCTGAGGCTGCTGCCTCGAATTTTGCGGGCAGCGGGGCGCGCGCGGGCGCGGGAGCGGGCGATTGCACCTCTCGTTACCCGCCCTCGCGCCGCTGCCACGCCGCTGTTTTCGAGAACCGGTCCATTTGATTTTACGCATAAGATCCTGCCGCTCCCGCTCCGCCGCTGCTACCGCCCCGCTGCCCGCAAAATTCGAGGCAGCAGCCTATGGAACATGGCTAGAAGCACAGCTCTTCCATGAATGAGTCTGGAGTATGAAACGTCTGTGTAAAATAATTATTCTTTTGCGTAACCACGAAAACCGCTGTAGCTGTGTTTGTAACATGCGTTTTCGAAACAAGCGATTGGTTTTCCCATAGATTGTTGTTCAAGAAAATGAGGATTTACTTTCACCAAACTTCGATACGTTGGAATCCATTTCTCGTGCGAAAGATGATGGTTGCAACGTGTATGCGATTTTATTGGCTAACGGCTTACAAGTAACGAGACTTTTAAAATTTGGGGAAAGGTAATAAAACGACTTCTTTGTAATTTCTTTTCATTTGGTTTATAAAAGGCTACTAACATACCTACTCTTATTGCGGCTTACACACTTTATTTTCACTCGACAGTTGACGATAATAAATGTTAAATATATATATCACATCGTATTTCCCTCAGAAATTGTATCTGGTTCGTGATAATTTTTTTAATAGGCAAATTCTGTATACGTCATTGATTTTTGGGTAAAAGGCAAGGCCGTTTGTTTCAAGTTTCGTACTCCCTCGTTCGGTGAAGGAACTGGAAAGAAAATTTCATCGTTGCAAAGTTTCTAACGCACGGCCTCGGTGTTGCCAAGCTCAAGCCAGTAGGCCAACTATTAATTTTGATAGGCTGACTATTCTATGTAATAAAAAAAATGAAATTATAGATAATTTGTATTTCAGATATCGACTTCTAAACACACGAGCTAAATTTATAATGCTTCACGACATACGACTTTTCCATAGCGACTTCCACTACCTATGGAAGCGTATTGTGAACGCAATTTTCATAAAACACCACAAAAAAGTCATTGGAAAGTTGAAAAGCAAACCATGGTTTGACATATCTACTGTTCCCTACCCAAATCCGATTAAGGGAGTTTTTGTACCACGTAGGGTGGACATTTGGAGAAACGGCAGGTTTCAGTATGGAAAAGAGCTGTTTTTTGTTAAGACAAGTAATTTAAATGGTGAAATTTTGAATGTTGTGTACTTGGAACATGTTCCGTCGGTGATGATTATGAAACAAAATGTGTCTAATAAGGTCAGAGGTGTGGAGGTTGAGGTAAATTTTTCTTAATATATAAAATAAAAAATACATTAGCGCTACAACCCTTAGTTAACCAATGTATTCTTAAGTTTTTAAATTTTTGGCCCATCTACGATGAGAGTATTCGGAATATCAAGTTTTTTTTGTACATTACAACTAATAAGCAGTTAGAGTAAGATATAAATACGAGACTTAACACTAAGTCGGTCCCGTTCGTCAAAAATGTTTTAGATTTTGACATAAGGAAGTCCGCGCGTATAGTTCGCGCTTAGAGTTGTATTTGTATCTCAACCTTTGAGACATGGTATGGTATGGTATGGTTGGTGGACTCAGTTTCCGCGCTTAGACTCATAATTGGTCCGTTGTGCGTAAATTCCTGGCTAATTAAGCCTAGCTTATTCCAGAAGCACAAAAGTCTCCTGGGCACTCACAGGCTTCACGGAGCGACCTAACTGCTCCGAGGATTTCTGCACGATGTTTAGCCACAGCCTCGCATACCTTTCAGACAGCGTCACGGAAGGGTAAGCGCGGATTTGTTCCGTAATACCTACACTCATACCTATTATTACGCAGATTCTCAATACACTTTCTCAAAAAATGAACTTCAAACCAAAATTATACCAACCCATTAACTCTGATGTTCACAAATGGGGCGAGATGCAAGCAAATGGATCCTACTCGGGACTGTTAGGTGAAATGGTCACTGGGAAGGCTGATGTTGCCCTGGGCAACCTTCAGTATACTCCTTATCATTTGGACTTGTCAGATTTGAGCATTCCCTACACGTCACAATGTTGGACCTTCCTCACGCCAGAGGCCCTTACAGACAATTCGTGGAAAACATTAATTTTACCATTTAAGTAAGTTTTAACTTAATATTATGAATATAAAACACTAAATTACAGGAAGTCTCAAGACAAATGTATATTGCGATAATTTACCGGCTGATGTCCGGTAAATTATCAAAACATATGATATTAATTTTTGTCATCAAAACACTTCACATTAACACGACAATTACTTTATATTAAATTGATTGATGAGAGCAGAAACATTTTGCGTCTGTTTAATTTATCATTTTGAAGGTATGTCGGTGTCCACACCATGAACGCACCGAAGAGTCGTTAAATAAGTCGGGTCGTTTGTCTATATAATGTTACGAGCTAGAGGATTGGATAGAAAACGTCGTTAAATGTCTTCAAGGGTTTATTTTAAATGAATCAAAGTAAATTAAATAAACTAATAAAATATACACAAAAAGTCACTAATTACTTCAATTACTACACACACTTCACACAGTATTGTATCGCTTGTCTTCGCTTTTCGAATGTTATCTCTTCGATGTTAATCTCTCGAAACTGAATTAACTGGTCGCGTTTGGACCCGCTTATATTGAAGTGCAAATTCCTTAAAACAGTAAAATCAATAAATCACATTTCACCCTGCAGAAAACGTCTCTAACTTATGGTTAATTCGAACAACTTTTCAGTCAACTCGTCTTCGTAAGAATATGTCAAAATAAAATGAAAAATTTCATTGATCATCCTTACCTACTATCAGATCACGACACATACGTCCTGGATCCAAGTTATTTTAGTCTAATGTATAAAGAATAAAATTTTGCATTTTACAAAACTGTTTGGAAAGTGCTAATTACTAAAAATATTTAGATTAAATATGTGGATAGCCGTTCTCCTAGTTCTGCTGGTGACTGGAACAATATTTTTTGGTCTTGCACACTATTACTTGAATTTGATTACCTTTCGAGAGGATTTAAAAGATTCCTGTCAAGTTAATAAGGAGAAATCACAAGGTAAGAAAGGAATATTCTTGAACCTTCACAAACTTTTTTAACCTATGTTAGTTGTAAAGCTATGAAACTACCTTCCTGGTCACGTTCGGCGTCTTCATTATCATCCTTCAAAAATCTCATATTTAAGCATTATTACGGTGTTATTAATGTATTTTTGTTATTTTTTTAACAATGTTTTAAAGTTTCTTGTGAGTTTCAACCGATATTCTATCTAATATTTTATAATTTTCATTAACCATTATTTTATTATTTATTTCATATTTCTTGCTTTATATTATAAGTTTTACTCTTTTGCATATCTTACAATTATATTCATGTTATTAGGGTAAATAGAAGAGATAATTTTTTTGTGATAAGACCCATGTGGAACATGGTGTAATGGTTGCAGCTCCTTACAAATATTGTGTACACAACAAAAAACTGGGCGATTAAAAAGAATAAAGTGTTAATAAACAATTTTAATGAGTAACTGAAGGCCGTCTTAGGTGTTGTCCCACTAGGTAAACGAGACTTAGCGCTCAGACTGATTCCCGTTCGTCAAAAATGTATTAGATTATGACATAAGGGAGTCGTCGAAACAAACGAAAGTTTTAAAAGAAATAAAATAAAAAAATTATTTGTAAAGAATTTTTCATTAATTATTATTCAAGTTTTATTTATTATATTAATAATTGAGTTATAATGACATTTCGCTGTATCATGTTACTCTAATTTCCTTAAGAATCAATGACCTTATGTCGATATTACCAGGCTAACGAACTTATACTCAGGTAGAATATTCAATGTTGCTAATCAACAAGCTTGCTAAATCTGACTCAACGGACAACCTATTTGCAGGTGAAAAACCAGTTGGCTTGTATTTGTTCGGCGAAATTACAAATAGCATACTTTATACATATGGAATGCTTCTAGTCGTGTCATTACCTAAATTACCTACTGGTTGGTCAATAAGGTTATTAACTGGCTGGTATTGGCTATACTGCATTTTGTTAGTTGTATCATACAGAGCCAGCATGACTGCTATTCTAGCAAACCCAGCGCCAAGAGTCACCATTGATAACTTAAACGAATTGGTTGATAGCAAACTGAAATGCGGAGGCTGGGGTAGCGAAACAAAGAAATTTTTTCAACAATCATTAGATGAGAAAGGCCAAAAAATCGGAGATAATTTTGAACTTATTAATGATCCTAACGAAGCTGCTACGCGTATAGCTCGTGGCGTATTCGCCTATTACGACAGCTCAGATTTTTTAAAGTACCTTAGTGTGAGGAGAAAACAAGCAAACACAATGATTGATGTTGCCAATTTTACTATGAATAGTACAGAGGTGGATAGTCAAGGCGAAAGAAATCTGCACATTATGTCGGATTGTGTTGTTAATGCACCAATATCTATAGGTTTTCATAAGAATTCTCCTTTGAAGCCTTTAGTAGATATTTATTTGAAACAAATCATTGAAGTTGGTCTAATTGAGAAATGGCAAAATGATGCTATGTACAAAATAAGGACTTTAGATACTAGTGAAGAAGAAATTAAGGCTTTGATTAATTTGAAGAAAATGTATTGTGCCTTTATTGCTTTAGCCATTGGTTACACTATTAGTACTCTTTGTTTACTAGGTGAATATGCACACTGGAATTTGGTAGTAAAAAGGGACCCTACATTTGATAAATATAATTTAGATGAATATTTTAAGAGTAAAAATAAAAAACTTTAATTATTTATCTATGTATATTATTATTCATAATTAATCAGTCCTTAAAGCTCTAAAATATTTTACCATATAATTCATTTTTCAAAGTTTAATTATTATTATTACTACACAATTTTCTATATTTTCTAATTATTAAATGAAAAATACATTAGAACAATGATAGCAAAAGTAAGAAATAATATTGTTCGAAAATATAAGGAAAAACTGCATCGTAAAGTAACCAAAAAAGTTATTACAGTACAGAGTTAAGGTATAAATCACAAATGGCCTTGTGTGTAGTAAGTATTGAAGATTGTTGAAAGTAAGTAAAAAAGGCTGAACAGCCTTTTTAAAGCCAGCTTAAATGTTAATTGTCATATCTTTGGGAACTATTTCTGTTCTACAATATCAAAAGCAGGTGGTTTTATACCTTCTGGGGCATTTTGAACAATCCAAGGATGTTTCAAAACTTTTGCTAATGGTAGCCTGTCCTCAGGCTTAATAATAAGTAATTTTCCTATTAAATCTCTTGCTAATTCTGACACATAATCAGGATACTTAATAATTACATGTCTAATTTTTTATAAGTTAGACTGTGATCGGTAGATTCAAATGGGGGAAGTCCTACTAATAATTCATAGCAAAGTACTCCAAGACTCCATATATCAACTGCATAACTATGTGGCTTAGAATCAACCATTTCAGGAGATAGATAATCTAATGTTCCACAAAGGGTCATGCGTCTAGATGAAGGTGAGTGAACAGACCAGCCAAAATCTGCTATTTTCAACTCCCAATTGTGACCAATCAATAAATTTTCTGGTTTAAGATCTCTATGTATAACTTTTTTCTGGTGGCAATAAATGAGGGCTTTAGTCAAATCTCTTATATAGATTGCAGCAGTCTTTTCATCAAATTTCTTGAGAAGTCTTAATAGTCTATAAAGAGCACCATGTTTAGCATATTCCAATATAAGATAAATGCGCTTTTCATCATGGAAGTATCCATACATGCGAAGAATGTTAGGATGACGGAGCCGACATTGAATTTCAACTTCACGCCGCACTTGGTGCTCGATGTCAGAAGAGAGAATTTGGCTTTTGAACAAAACCTTAAGGGCCACTACGTAATGTGATAATTTTTCCCTTGCCAAATAAACACTTCCAAATTTACCTTTTCCGAGTGGCCGTCCAAGATCAAAATCGGTAATAGCCCAAAGCTTTTTTCCATCCTTTTTAGGTTCAGACGTACTTGCTTCATCAGGAACATTTTGTAGTTGAACACTATTCATCAACGGTCGACTAGCTGGTGCTGCCGGTATCTTAAAACCACCACATTGTCCAGGCAGTTTAGAATTTTTTTTAGTTTGATTTTCTTTAGAATTCATTTTTCTAAAATAATTTCTTCACCCCTATATTTGTTAACATTTAATCAACACAATTAAAAATATGTTGTTTTAATTTTTATCCCCACAGTTTTTCAATTCAAATATCAGGATTTAACGTATATTTATCTGTCACAAGTCACAACTCACAACCATTACACAGTGAGAAGTGAGAACTTAAAATTAAACGTCATTTGACACATTTTGCCAACTTCAGACACACAAATACGATTTTTATTGCCTTTAAGTTGCAGGTCACTGCAATCTGTCAGATCACAGGTAACGATATGAAATCCTACTCTATGGAGTATGGATAAACTGTCAACCAAGACAGATAACTCATAACAGCTGTAATATAATAATAATAAATTCTGCAACAGGAAGATTCTTTTGATGTTTATAAAGTAAATGTTAATTAGCACGAGTTATCTAAAACTGAATTTATTTCAACAATAAACTTCCTGACCTGAAGGTAAGTGTAGGTTTATGTTATATCGATATTGTTCATAATAACCTAAATTAATGTTTGATCGTGAATTAACTTTTAACTAATTTATATTATATATATTTACTGTTATGAATTAATTTTTTTACATTTTTTAAAGATCTCCAACATAAAATGTCTGATGATGCCGAACAACAGACTGAAGAAATTGAGGTTTTAAAGTCAATTTACGAAGGAGACGAGAACTTTAAACAATTAAATGACAAGACTTATCAGTATAAGGTGACTATCTAAGATTTTTATAAAAAAAGCTTGTCTCTGATGAATGATTAAATATTAAATTTGTAAAAGCTTTAAGCCCTTAATATAGTTTATATCTAGATCTTACAAAGAAAAAAATTACGTAATGAAAACAGGGCAATTTTTCCTAAATAACCATCCATAACATAAAAAATACATGCCCTATTGTTTAGACAAACACTCTAGGGCTTAAGCATGCACCTCCCAACCCTGAGGTTAGGTTTTACAACTGTTCACCTATGGACTTCTTTCTATGTCCACAATTAATACTGCTTGTATGGTGCAGCAAAATACCAGGACACTGGCATGCCTTACACCTAAAAATTGATAGCATATAACTGACACAAAAGGCTGGTCACCCACGTACGCAACATTTATTATTCAGTATTATTATAAATATGTAAATTACTGAATACACAAAACAGATACAGAAATCTGAAACCAAGACTTAGTGATTGCCACTAGTTTTTGTTGTTGTTTGAAAGTCAAAATGAAGTTCGACTTAAGTTTTAATACTTGGTTGATTGTTTAAATTACAGTATAAAGATGAAGAGAAATCATTCATAGTAGAGATATGTTGGGGTCCTACATATCCTACAGAAAAACCTAGGATCAATTTAGAAATATTCTACAATCAACACTTGTAAGTATTATTTATTATTTTGATTTAATTAAAGTTTAGTGTGAGAAGTGTGAAGAAGAGAACGCAATAATAACATGAAAAAAGCAGTAAAGCCAGTGGCAAATTAGTTGGTTTGACATAAAAACATGTCTTGATATCTAACTAATGACATATTTTATTCTATTTTCTGTTAACTATGTTCATTATGTGATGAATGAAAAGAATGAGACACAAAAAATATATGTTATAAATTTCATTTTAAATATTCCAGGATTTCATCTGTAAAAGAAAATATTCTGAATATTCTTGATGCCGAAGCGGAGCAGTGGCTTGGTTGTGCTATGACATATACATTATTTGAGTGCCTTAGAGAGAAAGTGCCTGAGATTCTTGCTGAACAAGTAGAGGAAGTGGTTGCAGTGCGATTAGAGAAGGTGGCAATTACAGAACAGGTGAGAGTGAAAGAATAATTAATGCAAAGGTAATGCTTAGATATACCAACAATCTACAAGTCTAAATCTAAATAATAAAAGACTGAACCCTCCTAAAAAATAAGATAATATTAGTTATGTTTCACATTGCAAGCAGATAAGAAACATGAAATATATACCACAGGTCAATGTTAAGGATTCTTTCTCTAACTTATATTTTAATTTCCAGTTGGAATCCAAGAAGCCAGAAAAGAAAGAACAGCTCAGCAAATCACAAAAGAGAAGAGCATGGGACAAAGCAGAAATGGGTAAAGGTGGAGAGAAGCCAAGGGGCTGGGATTGGGTTGATATTGTCAAGCACCTGTCACAAGCGCCACATGTTCAGCCATCTTGACACTAGTGAGAGATAGTAGAACCAGGAAAAAGACAAACATGCTTATTACTCTGCAAGTGTTCACTCATACTGTAACGCATAATGTAACAAGTTTTAGTCAAACAAATAATGTCGGATTATATTATTATATCAATTACAGAAGACTCTTTTACAATAACTATTTTAACCATACAACTATGTTGTACGTGTAAATTCCATAGAAGTAGTATAGAAAGTATTACTCCAATAAAAATATAAAACCTATTTTACCCAACCAACAGGTTGATTTTTTATATACTAATATTAATCAAATCTGTACTATACATGCTTTTGTCTGGTAAATGTATATGTTACTATTATTGTCATTATAATATAATTTATGAAGTAATTGTGATGTCTTATTTATTATTAATAAAAAATTAAATGAGAATTATTTACTGGTACTTATGGTCTGATAACACGACATAAATGGTTCATTGTTAGATCTCACCACAGATTCACGCAAGGAAATAATAATTTTTGATGTTTACAATAAAATTATTTTAAAGAGTTCAGTCTTTTCACTAAACTCTGTATCCGTTAATTATGAAAGATCAGCGGCCGATTGGCGCTGTTGTAATGATTGACAATATTTGCATTGCTTGTCAAAATGACAATATTATGTTACGATTTTTGTAAAATATATAAACAATGATTTACACAGTCCAGCAATGGTATACGCCAGCAGAAGTAGCAGTTCACAACACAGCGACGGATTGCTGGGTGTCTCTTAATGGTAAAGTTCGCAACCTCACCCCTTGGCTGGAGCAACAGTTTAAGTTGTGCAGATGCATTAAGTCCTGTTCCTGCCCCATAAATAACTGGTACTGTAGGGATGAATGTGTCGAGTACTGTCCATGTTTTAAACGGGGATTCTTATACTGTGATGCCAAAAGGGTAATACAATTACAAGATTTTGGTCAACTAGACTTTCTACATTACATATATTATTATGTAGCTTGGATTATATAAACTTTTATAGAAATAGCTAACAATACAATGTTATTTAATATTACGAAGTACGAAATGCCTTTATAAAATAACTTAGCAATATTTCAGCTGGCTATGACAATTCTTGCGTACGCGGGGAAAGATGTGAGTCATTGGTTCAAAGGCGATGAGTGGGTGAAATATACCCACCCAATAGTGGGATCTACTATCCCCTTTTACCAATACGGGCACGGGAATAGAGAACCCGTAGTACCATCTACAAAATGGCGCCCGCTTTGTAAATGTGGTCCCTGGTGGCTGGATGAGAGCAATGTTGTTGGAAAGGTGACTGCAAAGACAAGACCTATTCGGATTACGAATACCCTAATAGGTATTTTATTTTTAACAACGAAGAAATATCATTTATATAATAAATTCGCAATTAATAAACTATGATTTATCTATACTAATATTACACTGATTCCGAAAAATATATTTCACAAAATATAAGGCTTTTTGGCTATTCTTATTGTTGCTGACTTCTCATAATAGGAACATCGACAACTTTAGAGGTGTGTTCTGAAGAGACTCTCTATCAAATAATGATGCGCTACCTTCCTCACAATTCCCACATGCTGTCATACACCTGGAGATACTTGGATAAGCCATTGAAATACAATCTTACTTTGGAAGAAAATGGTGTTCCGGACGAGAGGGAAATCTTTAATGACTTAGCGTTACCAGAGAATTTGCACATACCCGATCTGCTTTTGTATTACAATGACGATTTGACTGAAGGTGTGTGATTTTTATAGCATACAAAGTAGTGCTGGGCTGGTCGTAGTAGTAGGGCAGTGGCTTGATTCTCATTCCTGAGATTCTAATAGGCTTTTCTATCTGTGTAAGGAGAACATCGTAAGGAAACTGGCATGCCTTAGACCCAAAGAGTCGACGGCGTATTCAGGCACAGAAGGCTGATCGTCTTGATTCTTAGAATAAGCAAATTATTCAGAAATATGAGGCCAATGTCAGAATTTGTTCCTATTTTTGCCAGCCCTGCGAATGTATATTCGCCAGAATCACGTAATTCTTCAATTCTTACCGAAACGTACAAAGTCTGTCCTTAAAACTGAACAATTGTTGTTGCACGTGGTGATTTATGTAGTTTTGACGCTAAATCATCGTATTCCTGAATCTGGAGAAAATTTTAGATATTGCACTTCAAATTTTTATTTTTGATGGAACAGGTGGCAAGGAGCAGGGGCCTCATCTGATGGTAAATGATATGCTCATGGACACACAGTGCCAGTAGGCTCGTGAGTGCGTTGCCGGCATTTTATGAATTGGTACACTCTCTACTTAAGGGACTCTCAGTAGAATTGGTTAATAACGGGCATAAATGTTCCATATAGTGGTGTTGCGTTGGTCCCAACTTCCACATGTAACAAACAAATTTATATTTTCAGACCCACCCAAAGAATGCTACTGTGAACACCAAGATTGTGTAACAGGACACCCAGAAGACTGCCATAATGTCCACATTGAAGATGCTTAATTAGTTAACTTATTCCATTTTACCTAAATTATTAATAACTATTTGACTTGTTTCAAATATATTTTAAAATTTTATTAATCTTTATCTTTACACAAAGTGCTTTTAACACATTATTTTATTTACCATTTTGAGATACTAATAAATTTTTTCACCAACGCAAAAAGGCGGTCCGGGAATTCCTAGTTTTTTTTTCACTTTGACCCTACTTCACTCACTTCTCACTTTTTTACTCAACAATTTTATAGTAATTGGATTAAATAAAATTTAAAATCGAAGTTTGGTCTATGTTTCTAAGACTATAAGTTATGTTCAATGAAAGAGAATGTACTCGTAAACTGTCTTTGGTTACATTATTATGATATCAATGCCGTAAGATGGTCATGTCATCATTTTTATAAATATTTTGACACTGAATTTACTTGGAATTATGTAATTTGATAAAATAAACCAGTGGCGCTACAACCTCTTTAGGTCTTGGCCTCAGATTTCTGAATCTGTTTCATGATCATTTTTAAATCTAATAGGCAAGTAAGTGATCAGCCTCCAGTGCCTGACACGCGCCGTCGACCTTTTTGGGTCTAAGACATGTCGGTTTCCTCACGACGTTTTCCTTCACCGTTCGAGCAAATGTTAAATGCGCATATAAAAATTCATACGGCGGGGTTCGAACCTACGACCTCTGGTATGAGAGTCGCACGTTGATGCCACTAGGCCAACACTGCTCTATATGTAATTTGATACATTTCAATAAAAGTAAATAATATACAAGATATGTTTTATTAAGTGTAATTTTTTTGTGTCGTTCCGCATTACTAAGGTTCCGCGTGCCAGTTTGCATTATTCCGAAGTAAATTTCAATTACGTAATTATTATACAAGAGCATAAGTTTCTTGGCACGTGGTCGGTCGTTGGTATTTACCTTTGACCGGGTAACTGAATAATGTTTATTCATTTGATTTGTTATGTGTAATCACAGGAACGGCACGCGATGTAGGTAAAAAATAATAAATTCACATTGCTGTAGGGTGTAAATGTGCTTTAGGTAGACTGTGCTGTACCCATCGTTAATTTTAAGTCATTGTAAAAATTACGATGTAAGATTCCACTACAAAGTGATCTAGGTGCAAGCTCCTTCATATTATCGTCAGCAATATTTAAAAATTATCGAGTAATCAATATATATTATTATGTATTATAAAAATGTTTATTTCTTGACGAGACCTTCTACGGGTTTAGGTTATAAAAATACAATTCATTTATTTCACTGAATTAAGAAATAAAATACCTTTAAAGAATCTACTTTTTTACTTTGAGTGTCTTTAAGAATCCTCTATTGTTTACAGTCTTTAACCTTATGTTTTTTCGTAAAATCCCAACTTATGCCTGTCCACAGGATATATGCTCAGCCGAGCGCGTCGTAGGCTCCGACGCACTGTTGCCATGGTCGTAAACTATCACCTGGTTGTCATGAATATTAATGACCGGGAACGCGTATGCTACCATTTTAATAGGCATCGCTTTATACTTTTTTTCTATACGTTCTACCTGTTCATGACCAAGGTGACTTGTATTGTCCACGATATATTAAAAGTACTTTTTTGTCTCAATTTTTAAAATGTTGAATTGACTCCGCATTTGGCTTACTCCGCATTTGGCTTAATCTTGCCTAGATGTTCAGAATCTTAGGGAAACTAAGTAAATATCTTTTTGTTTTAAAGGGTTACAGGCGTTATCACATGCTAAAATATAGTCATAATTCTCTCTCAAATTGTCCTTCGAAATGATAGAGACACTTTTTAGGCCGTGGAGACAGCGGAATGAGTGAGTGAGTGTGTGTCTGCAAATTGCTATGATTATTTGGATATAATAGAAGAGGAGGCAAAGGGGCAGCAGTCTCACCTGATGAGTCATACCGTGGCTCATGGACACTCTAGCTAATGTATTGACCGATTCTATAGCATTTCTTACCACACACATACATTAATACTTTTCGAGACAACGCGCCCGCTTATTTGCAGCAAGTAACAAGGAGACCACCAGGCATGCGCGGATCGGATAATTCACATCGGGCTACCCTAAAATACCCCATGCAATGTTCCATTAAAAGTATACGCGTAACATCACATTAACCATAGAGAATAGAAAGGACGCGCGAGTGTGACGTACACAAAAGTTTTCGCGCGTAAAAAAACTCGGTTGTTTGAACTTTTTATATGGACTCTTTTGCTAATAGAAGTGTACATTATAAATTAACAGTATTTTTTGTATCAAACTTATTGGGTGAGTTGGTAAATAATTCATTAATACAATACGTACTCATGCTTGAGAACTTTCAATATGTGTTTTGATTCAGATGTTGAGATTTTGATATGACAATCGTTGTAAAATATTAACTCTTGATACACCCCAAATTTTGCGGTCTCAAAAAAAAACCCCCTCCTCTAAAAGTCAGTTTAATTTTTAACCCTTATCGCCATTTTGTATAGTATACCAAACAACCAACTTTATAAAATGATCACTAAAAAATCATTTTTAACTTTGTTTTATTAAACACATGACATTTCTAGACGTCTATTTATACATCAAAAATAAAAATATATTTATACGGTCATAATTTTAAATCAATTGTGAAAAATAAACGTCAAAATGCGCCGCACAGGTTTATCTATAAGTAAGTTTTATTTTATTTTTATGTTTGTACTCCTAAATATGCATGTTTTTAAAAAATACACATGCCTAAATGTTTGTTTTAACACATTTTTATATATATGCTGTTGTCGCTATGAGAATTAGTATGTTTTTGTCGTGTTTTTTACTAACGTACATTATACTATACAATGCCGCAGTTGCAGCAATTTACCTTTCGTTGATGGTGTATAGAATAATATACATTGCTAACTGCACGGAATGAATATTTTAATGGACTTTACTATAAAAATTAAATTGCAAGTATGTCTGTCTTATATATTAAACCAATTTTATTACAATTTAAAAGACAGTTGAACTTATGTTTGACTGCCTCGTTGATATAGTGGTTGTAGAAAGCTACACACAAAGTTGGGGTTCGATCCCACAAAAAATACACATATTATTATTACTGAAATACTACATAACTGATATATAAATATATTCTATAATACAATATGGTTTGGCTTTCTATAACGATGGGTTTTTTGCATGTTTCTTTTACTTTGGGTTAAGACTGCTATAAATTATGTTGAGGGAAAATTATGGTTTTTTTTTTTTAGGAACAATCAGACAAAATACAAAATAGACCCAAAGATGCTGCTACTAACCTGCTAACTGAAAAGGCTTTGAAAAAGAAAGAATTATTATATACTTAGTATTGTCAAGTGGGTTGATAATAAACAGGTCACATTGGTGAGTTCTTATGATGATGCATACCCTGTCGAAAATATAAAACGATTCGGCAAAGAAGCAAAATCTCGTGTTGATGTAAAATGTCCTAAAATTGTTAAAGACTATAATCGTCACTTTAGAGGTGTCGATTTGGCAGACATGCTGATTGCATTATATCGCACTGGAATAAGATGGCACAGGTGGTATATGAAAATTTTCTCGCAGCTTTTGGATATCTCTAGGCATCAACAACGCTTGGCTTTACGTCACAGACATAACAAAATGATAAACACCACTAGAAAGCAGGATCGTCTAGAAGATTTTAGATATGAAATATACAGTGGCCTACCGAAACGAGGTCGAAACGTTTCAGTGGAAAACCATGCGATGATGTCCGGTGTGACAAATATGATCATTGGCCGCAAATAACCGGATATGAGAGGTGCAAGTACTGCAAAGTTGGCCAGGCAAGTACTTTTGAACAAAATGGTAAGGTTCATCTTTGTTACCGGGAGAAAAAAAAAAGGGTTTTTGGAGTACCACTGCAAGCAATAGAGTCTCTGAATTATTAAATTACGATTATTTTGTTGTTCAAGAAAGATTAATTTTATTAAACATTTTATGTCCACCAAGACAGTTATTTTTATTTAAAATCATGTTATTTACAATAATCTTTTGGTATATATTAAAAACTACTAGTAACATTTCAACTCTCCCTAAACATACCAATGTATAGCATAATATACATTCCTGAAAATGCGATAATCACTGTACGTGTAGCAATGTATAGAATAGTATACATCTTGTTTTTCCAAAATTTTCATGTCACGTTTTTTTTATTTATTTTTTCGATGATTTTTATGCCCCAAAGAAGCTACCTATATAATTTTTTTTTGCTTTTCTTCTAAAAAAGAATCTTGCCACGATAAGGGTTAATTTGAATTCGTAAAATATTTTTTAGATTTACCTGCTTGTGAGTTATGTCCATTACGTTCAGCTTTTTTTTACGAATAACATTTAGTATCGATATACCATAGAGAAGTCTGTAAACTTGGGTGATAAATATTAAAAAGTTTACTGTGTACGTAAAAAGTTTTTTTTTATTTACAATAAGAACGATTGCTCTTTATAACAATTGTTTTTATATATATGTAGCCCTCTATGAGTCACAGGACTAGGAGTGTCCAAATTAAACAAGGGTTTGTTAGGTCTAACTGATTTCGTATCCCAAGGACAATCAATACTTCCACCCCTTATTTACACCCCATTTAATTTAGCAAAGTACTGAGAGCAGTTTACCAAATGTAATGAGATTTTTAGGTACGATTGGTAGTATTATATCATTCCTATATGCATATTTAGAGTATTGTATTGAAAACTATGGAATAAACAGATCTTAAAACATTTATTAAATCAATTTGACAGGTTTTTTTAAAAATAACAAACGGCCAAGAGGCTCATCTGATGTTAAGTGATACCGCCGCCTATAGACAATCACATTACCAGAAGCCTCGCATCTGCGTTGCCGGCCTTTTAGGAATTGGTACGCTCTTTTCTTGAAGGGCCCTAATTCTAATTGGTTCGGAAATATGTACTTTATTGGGCAGCTGGCCCCACATAGTGGTGAAAATGCCTTAAAT